AATAATAATAATAATAATAATAATAATAATAATGTCATACACACTGCAGATAGCACCCACTGTTCATGAGATAAAGAGGAACTCCTCAGTAGAAAACCAAAGATCCTCATTTTCCTTCCACTGCAGCCTACAAAACCCCAGGCTTGCCCTTCTCCACCAGGGTTCCATGACTGCTGAAGTCAGTATTTCATTTTTGCTCGATTCCACTCAGAATATAAGGAATCCTGGCAGCTAGTGGATTACAAGTTGTTTTGTTAACTCCAAGGTTAGCAGTTCAAATTCACGAGCCACACTTAGTGGAAGAAAGATGAGGCTTTCTGCTTCAGTAAGACTTACAACCTGTACAGGGCTGCTAAGAGTCAGAACCAACTCCACAACACATTACCACCACCACCACCACTACTGGAGGATAAGCGCTGGACTGCTAGCAGCAGGTAGGCAAGTTCAAACCCACCAGGTGCTCTGCTCCTAAGAAACCCTACATCAACTCCATGGCACTTAACAACAATTTCCTGTATAAATTTAGAGTCTGGTGCCAGATATTAGCTCTCACTCTTCTCTGACAGATAAAGCCATCTGCACCATCTCACATATGCCCAGGAGTGCTGCTCAATTACTCCTTCCCATTCAGTTGAACTCACTTGTTTGGCTTCAAGCAACGATCCTCTCATGCCGTCTCTTTGCCCAGCATTTAGAAAGGTAGGGTAGGAAAATGGTGAAGAGAATAGGGCCTCATAATCAGATGGGTGTGGATTCTTTTTCCATCTGAACGACCTTGGGCAAGAATCTCAATGGCTCAGTTTTCTCATTTGTAAAATGGGTTTATGATGATACCATTTTATCCTATTGGAGTCCTGGGGTGATGCTGTAGGATAAGTACTGGACCGCAAGGTCGGTTTGAACCACATGGTTGGCAGTTCAGACTCAGCAGTTGCTCATTGGAAACGTATACAGGGTCGCTATGATCCGAACCGACTCAATGGCACTTGACAAGAATAAATCTTATTATAGCATAAGATATGGGTTGTGAGGTTACATGGGCCGCGTTTTGTAATGCCTAATACAGAATAAGCACCAACAAGCGCCGCTCTCTTTGCACAAGCGCTGCCACGGGCGCATGGACCCACATAGGTGGGTAAGAGCTAAGGATGCTTCTGACCAGTCTGGTTGTCGATCATTGACCCAGGGATGCCAATAGTTTCTGTCTTCTCGCACAGGGCGTGTGCTGGTCCAGTGATCCGTCTTTCCAGTCGTTCCCCACCCATGGCCGAACCTGACGCCGCGGTGGCTCACGCGCCTTTCCGCCCCAGCCTCTTGCCTCGGACCACACGTACCATCCCTGCCGCCCAGTCCCGCCCCTCCAGCCGGCAGTCTCCGATGTCTGGGCGGCCGCGCCCGCGGGTTGTGAGCGCTGATTGGCTGCGCTGTGGCGGCGGGCGGCCCGCAGGCACACACACCCTCCTCGCTCAGCCAATGGGCGTGCGCGCGTCACTGACCTGGCGTCCCGCGGGCCCGCGGCTCCTCAATAAGCCACATTGTTGCACGAAACTTCAGCGCTAGAGTCACTGGGCCGCCGCGAGCACCGCTGTGTCGTCCAGCAGAGCAGATCCCCGGCGGGAGCATCACGCGCGAGACCGAGACCGAAAAGCCTGCTTGCCCTAGCTGAGCCGGGCTGCGATTCTCTCCAAGTTGTGGTTTAGAGATCTTGTGAAGGAAGTTGGCTCCTTGACCGTGGGACAGTCGGACACGTCGCCTGGAGTGATAGTTGGGCGCCTGCTAGCAGTTGTGACGAATAACCTATCTTTAGAGACCAGAGAGCTCCCACCCGCAGCGCCGTCGCCTTCAACCTTCTTTGTGCGCCTCTCGGACTCCAGGGTACAGTATAAATCGGTTCCACCGCTGCCCGCCTCCCCCGCACGCACTCCCGCTCCGATTTCCCAACTCTGCTCGGTCTGGCCGCGGCAGGATGATTGCTTCGCATCTACTCGCCTACTTCTTCACCGAACTCAACCATGACCAAGTGCAGAAAGTAAGTGAGCGCGGGCGGGGGCGGCGGGCTCGCCTGCTACAATATTGCCTGGCCCCCACGCCGTCTCTCATTGACCCTTGCCAGCTGGACACGCTTCCTCTACCCGGTGCGGACTCGTTTCCTATCCACTTCGGAGTCGGGGCCACGGAAAGGTCCGGGAGTCCCAGCAACCTCTCCGCGTGAGGAGCCACGTCCGTGCGCGCGGGCGAGGGGCTGGCGCTCGCGCACCGCTGGGTTCCCTCTTCCTGCCACCCTGCTTGCTCCTTCCCTCTCTCTCTTTTTTTGTTTCTGGAGGGGCGGGTCACCCAGCACGTAGTCAGTGACTGCTGGGCACACGTGGGATGATCCCCACTTCTACAACCGAGTTCCGGCGAGAGCACGTGGGGAAGAGTCATGACTGGGGGAGGAGGCTCCGCTACCGCATGGGGACGTTGGGGGCCTCTGGCCCATAAATTCTGGAGACTTGCGGTTCCCCTTCTTATTCCTCGCGGCTCTGGGAGGGATTGGGGAGAAGCGGGTCCGGAGAGAAGAGCGGTAGGAGGGGGTAGGGAGTAGCCACTCGTTGTGCCCCTTCTCCGGAATTGAGACGCTGCTAGGGGTGTTCTTCCTCCGCCCCTCCATCTGCCTCGGGACTGCCCCGCCTCGCGTCCAGGGGACCCGCCTCCAAGTGGGGGGCGGCCTTTGGATGTTCCATTCTAGTTCGCTCATACAAGTTACTTGGAGAGGACCAACCTTACTTTCCCGGATTCCCTGAAATCTTTGTCATTTCGAAACTGTGCTCATTTCACTCTCAGGGGTACCTCTGGCTAAAGCTTTCACCCCAGTCTGATCATTTACGTAAGAAAGAGCCTCGAGCTCAGCCCGAAGCCTCTTTCGGGTTGCCCCCAGTTGCGAGGCTGGAGGTGGGGCCAACCGGGCCTGGGGCACACAAGCTCAGTCAGGAACGACTGAGATCCCGAAATTCCTGGACTTGACTCTTGCTTGGGACCTTGATTAGAGTTTGAGGAAGGGGATGGGCTGGGGCGGGATAGGGGCAGAGCTGTGTAGCATTGACTAAATATTGCTCAATTAGATACTTGGAATTTTAACGTCTGGTGAGAACACATTTTTGGGAAATGTCTAAATGTTGTCATCCGGTGAGACGACCGGCTCCCACTCCCACTCTGGAGGTTCGGAGAACAAAGGAGAGGAATATAGATTATCATGTTGATTCCAGAAACTTGGCAAATAACTACAAAATAAAGTATGACACGGCAGCCACAGCCTGGAGGAGACAGCAGAGCACATTTGGTTTGGTTGTGTTTGACTTTGTTTATAAATTGATTGTACTCAAACTCATTCTTGGGACGCGGCTCGGTTTCGCATTTTATTCCCATTTATTTAAAAACGTGTCTATGAGCCAGCAGGATGTTGGCAACCTCTCTGGACTTCTGCCTAAGTGACGTAGCTCTTGGGGAAGACTATCTCTTGTCAAATCCTAAAATAAAAGCGGGGGCTCATTAATCCAAGGGAGGATTCATGAGTGGAGTAAATATCGCTCCAGGACATAATAATGCTTTTACTGGCTTTCTCTCCCTGAATCCAGTGGAATAGGATTAGGACAGCAGTCACCGTGATTTGTAGGACCCACGTGACCTGGAATGAGTATCATCTCTTTGTCCTATGGAAAGAGAATTATGATATCTGAAACTGAGTTCTAATTCCTGTCCTGTGGCTTATTAACTACGGGACCGTTTGCAAGTCAGTTTAACCCCTTTAGTCTGCAACTTTCTCTTCGTCAGGACAGCAGCGTTGTCCTTTTATTAAAGTTGCGATGGTCAAGCACAAGATATGAACACGTGTTACCCATAGGCGTCTCCTCCTTACACTGCAGGTACCTTTCACGTTAGAAGTGCCTGTGGGGATGCTTGGCTGTATTTACCGTAAATTACCGATGGGGGCAGAAAAGAGTCAGGTCTTTAACCTGGGGCTTTGACTCCTGTTTCAGGTGAGCAAAGCTGTTTGATTCCAGGGACAATTAAACAGGAAGCAGAGAGAACAAGAAAGGAGAGTAACTTGAAAGCATCTTTTCAAGTTGCCTGCTGGAAGGGGGAATTGAGAAGAGAATGAAGCAAGTTTAGTCTTTTTAAAGACCTTGTTTTGGCCAATCAGGGTCTCCTGTTTTGTTCTAGCCCGGTGTTTTGTGCCATTACTATGAGAGTAATGGCTCTTTGCTTATCCTTGCCTATTGACACTTTGGAACTTGAGGGACCACAAATAGCATCGACTATGTAGCTGGCAGGATACAAACGGTAACACTCAGGTGCTGATTGAAAGGTTGGGAGTTCAAGTCTACTCAGAGACACCTTGGACGAAAGTCTTAATGATCGGTTTCCAAATTGTCATAGTTACTGAAAACCCTATAGAGCATAGTTCTACTCTGACACATGGAATCACCATGAGTCAAAGTCAATGGCAACTGGATTTACCAAGCATTACTCTAAGCTCTTTACATGTGTGAACTCACTGAGATTCACGGCAAAACGATGGGGTAGGTGTAATTCTTATTTACACTGCTTTACCAGAGCACAGTGGCTCCCTATGATAAATACTGCACTGGGACCCACAAGGTCCAAGCTTTGAGTCTGTCAGCTGCCTTGCAGGAGAAAGATGAAGTTGTCTGTTCCCATGAAGATTTAAAAAGCTTCAGATATCCTATATGGGGTCGCTGTGAGTCAGAACCTACTCAACGACACTTAACTGTTTTACAGATGAGGAAACTGAGGCACAGAGAGGTTAAGTAACCTGGCCAAGGTCAATAGCTATTCTGTAAGAGCTGAGAACTGAAGCCATGCATTTGGGCTCTAGGGCTGCATGCTCTTGACTACATGCTTGCCTGCCTGTCTCTTGGGAACATTCCAATTCAATTCCAATGAAACGTGTTTCATCCCAGTTCATGTCTGAACCCACTCGTGGATGCTGCTATTACCCCCCCCCCCGCGCCACACACACACACACACATACATACACATACACGCATACATACATACACACACACACACACACACACACACCCCTAGCATGTACACAAATGGTACCAGTCCCTCTCTTGATTAGATGAATGGTACTGGAGCCCTCTGGCCATCCATGCTGAATGTCTTGAACTAATTTTCTCTGGCTTTCCTCTCTGATTGCTGCCCTATGCCAACTGGTCCCTAAGTTACTTCAGAGACCTCCTGACAAGTTTCGCTATTCTAGTCTCTTTCTGGCGCCAGATTGGATTTTTTTCAGAAGCCTTGCACGACGCTGGCTACTGAATACCCCTGCTTTTGTATCCCTGTCCTCCCATAGGCTCTTCTTTCCCATTTTTTAGTCTTCAAAGACTTGAATCTCCAGTCTTCTAAATGTCAGACACATTCACATTACACTGTTTCACCCTTACCTTTGTGGCCCAGAACATTCTGCCTGACTTTTCTTCACTTATCTCCTTTGCTTTGAGCTATAGCATGCCATCGCCTCTCAAACTCTTACCTCCTTCTCTCTGCTCACTTGTGTTTGAACCTTTCATGGCATTTGTTTCAGACTGCTATACATGCTTGACTACTAACCTAACGGTTGGCATTTCGAATCCACCCAGTTGTGCTATAGAAGAAAGGCCTGTGGCCATCTGCTTCAGTAAACATTGTTGTTGTTGTTGTTATTAAGTGCCATCGAGTCGGGTCCGACCCATAGCGACCCTGTACAGGGTTTCCGAGGGTGTAAATCTTTACGGGAGTAGAAAGCCTCATCTTTCTCCCGCGGAGCGACTGGTAGTTTCGAACCGCTGACCTTAAGGTTCGCAGCCCGATTCATAACCACTACGCTATCAGTAAACATTACAGTCAAGAAAACCCAAGGAGTACTTCTCTTTACTACATGGGGTTGCCGTAAGTCAGATAAACTTGACAGCAGAAGGTGCTTTTTTATTTTTTTCTTCTGGTCATTCGAGTTGGTAGTTTTCAGTTTTGGTTCCTTCCTGGGAGCAAGGAGCCTGCTGTCTACTTACTCTTGTAGCATAGTTTCTAGTCACTGAGAAGATATTCAGTAAGTGGGGGAATGAAAGAAGGAATGTCCCAGGAATCAGCAGTCAAGTAGGGCCTGCAGGGAGTGGAGGTCGAAGGGAAGGAGCTGGGGAAGGGTGGTTCTGGGCTGAAAGAAAGAATAGTTCTCCTTAGGGCTGTTCTTTCAGTAAAGTATGGCCTGAGGTTGAGACTGACCCTGAGAGAGAAAAAAGAGAGGGGCTTCTGTTCTCCACCAAGCTCAACACTTTGTGTCCTGTCTCTGAAAAGACAGGGTTCATTTTGTTAATGGAGGTATAGTTGCTACATGTCACAGGGTTTTTGTCTCTTTGGAATGAGATTCAGGATTAGCCTTGATTTGGCCACTGATCAAATTGTTTTAGCACATATACACACAGTTTTACTCCAATCCTGGAATACGGGTAGCTCACTTAGACTTCTTGCTTTATGAGCACCGGTGATCTTCAACTGTGAACCTTTGAGAGGAGCATATCTCAGAAGGAGAGTCAATGGAGCCCTCAAGAATCAAGATAGACCAGAATTATAATATTTTCTGGAGAATCTCCTATGGGTGTAAGGCCCTCAGTGCTATGTGGAAAATGGAAACAAAGACATTTTTTAGTTGTCTAGAGAGATAGGCTCCCAGGAAAATAATTTACAGGCAATAAAGGATGGCATATAATTAACTAGGGCTGCAAGCAGTCAAAAGAAGGTGCGTTACCATGAGTTTGTATGGAGTTAGGGGCTGAACAGAGCCTTGATATGTTCTGAGCATTTATTGTATGCCATGTGGAGTCTTGGTGTGGCACCATAGGATAAACACTGGACTGATAACCACAGGTTGGTGGTTCAAATAAATCTACCAGCCGTTTCTTGGAAACCCTATACAGGGTCATTATGAGTCGGAATGGACTTGACAGCACTTACCAACATCAACAACAACATATGTTGTGTACTCCAGAT